GCTACTGGGCAGCTTTATTCAGTGTTTCTACAGTTTTCCTCGTTGCATGCTTTGTACAGGTGAGTGTCATCACTTACTGTTGTTAAAGAAAGAAAGCTTGCGTGAGTTTTGAATTTTTTGGAAATTTTAAAACAGCATCTACTTTCAGAGTTCCTGGCGAAGTTACCAGTGGCCGAAGTTGTGACACTTTGCTAACTTTAGCCACTTGTTGGCACAGTAGCCTCTTCTACGGATCGCTTAAGAAACTATTTTTGACTACCCGGAATAATTTATTTCACTTTGTCATGATTTAATAGTTCACAGAGGAATGTATTCTCCTCTGCTGGGTCCTACGGGTGGATACCTTTGTCACCACACGAATCATTTCTTCCGTTTGCTTTTACAAGCAGCTTTGAATGAGTTTTGATCAAAATTAGCCTCAGTTTTTGCAGATTTTTATGCAGTCGGCCTTGTTTGACTTTGTGATGGCAGTAGCCGGTGCGATATTGTTTTCCATTTATTTGGTTTTCGATATCGATCGCATAATGCATCACAGTTCACCGGAAGACTACATCGAAGCATGCGTATCGATCTATTTGGACATTATCAATATTTTCTTAAGAATTCTACAGATTCTGAACGAAATCAATCGAAATTAGTCTTTCGTCCCAACTGATTAACTGGTCGTGTATAGTTCAGCAGCAATATTGGGGAGCAACAACATTTCTTTTTAGCAGGAATAACGAATTTCTGTACTACGAATGAGGCTTCAGTTTTTTGCCTGTACTTTCGAAATTCCCTTCTTTCCAATGGTTTTTACAGCCGTCACGGAATGTTTTGCGTAATGATCGACAATGTTTCTGCTCAAAAGAAAAAATTTCTGCAATTCCGTAATTTGTCGTAATTCCTTCATTCCAGTTTTTTTGTCGCTATCCTGCTTTTGTATATCGCTGTACTTACCTGTCTTGATCCTCGTGCATCATTAGTCTGCAGGCCCAGCATTTGGTTTTTCTAATATTTAAACAGTCCGCCACTGTTGGCGTCTGCTACTTCCCAAAGGTGATGTACTATAGAGAACTGCGTGGGCAACAGTTGTAAACTTAAGTGGGTTCCTCAACACTAATCGATTTTTAACATGGAGTTTTCCTAACAATTTAACATAACTCACATTGCTGTGCTACTTTTGGATGGCAGTAAATAACGTTGTGATTTGGTCAGTTCAGCTTTGCATCCACATGTTACAGATCCGTATTTTGAGGGCGACTTTCTGTTTGAAGATGGACGCAGTGGACGAGAAAGGGAGCAAAGATGAGATTCCTTCCTTTCTTTGAAATTTGTCTAGGTACGGATGTGATCCTTCTGAGGATTTGGAAAGAAAGAAATGAATTCCAATTTGAAAATAAAACGAAAGACTGGACGTTCGCAGCACGAAGCGAAATTTTCCATTTTCCATGGCTGCATAAAGTGACTGAGGCTACTTTTTGTGAATGGTGCATGTAAATGACGGATGTCTAAATCCACGCAGTTTGGAAGGAACTGTCAGAAGTAATTATGGATTTTCCTGCATTGAAAACCAGTGTAACGCTGAAAAGACCTTTCACTCTGATTTATTTGAAAGCGTCCCAACGAAGGGCAAGCAAACGGATTTTCTACAAGCAACAGTCGGAATTTGAAGGGGCAAGAAGACGAATGAACTACAGAAGAGACGTATTTGGATCATTTGCCGGCAGCAAGTTGTTTCATGGTACTGCCACAGCATCCTACGTTCTCGCCATCCAGGTTCATAAACTGGATGACGCAGTGAGCGGGATCGATGCCCACCGCTTTCTTCATGAATTCTGAGATCGCTAAGGAATATTTCACATTTTTCTCCTCCGAAAACGAAGCAATTGCTTTGGCCTGCAAGCCAATACTTTACATGCAACAGGATCGCAAGTGAAGCGCAAAACATAAACCAGGCTGCAACGCACGAGGCTTGCTGGAGCCACCATGCGTTTTTGCGCTAAAGTTGCAAATCCTAGCAGCAGGAACGATTCCTGCGCCGTAATTTAACACTTGGACTCATACCGGCTGTATTTTGGCATTTTCCGCATGCAGGGAGAAGGCGCCGTCTAGGATGAAAGTGCTGCATTATGCGGTCGCATGGATCTCAGCGTACAATTACCAGTTTTTTGCATAAAGTCCGATGAATGTCCGTTCACTGAAAAAATGCAAATTTGAAGGAAGTCAAAATGAAATCTGCAAGATGCACCTGATTTTGTCATGTTATGTCTGCGTACAGAAAATTTTACCTCCAAGCTGAATTATGACTGCACGTGAATATAGAATATTCTCGCAAAGTTTCAGCTTCGCAATTTGTCTGGGTAGCGAAACCGCCACTTCGGTATAAATATCTTTGATGCACTCTAAGTCGTGAAATAAGTGCAGATCGAAGCTCAGTTTAGGCATGCGATTTTCCTTATGAAAATATTTTGACAAAATTTCAGCGACTGTTTTCCGGTTAATTTTCAAGTCAGCACAGTTCCAACTGAGAAATTTGATGTGATTGTATGCGTGGTATAACCGTATGCGGTAGCTGAGTTTGAAATCTTTGACTCGTATCCCTGCAAAGTTTCAGCTTTCTATCTTGTCGGCATCACGAATTCGTCTCATGCCAAAATTTGCATGTTTTTTCCACGAGTCAGTACACGAGATTTAAGTGTGTACGAGCAAAAATTTTAAAACGGAAAGGTGGGAATGTGACCCCAAAACTCCAGCCTCCCAACTTTTCTGATTGCTGAGTTCACTCGCTCCCGAACACTTTCGACAATATGCGTTTTGTGCTGTGTGAAACAGTATAACGCATACTGTCACGGGGTTGTTTGTGTTTGTATGTGTCCGATGCATCTTGTCCACAACTTTCAACTCGGGAACCACAAAAGCTAAAAGGGTAAAAATTTAGAGGAATGTTCCCCATCCACGTATGACCCCGCAAATTTAAATTTAACCATCCCGTGTTCGCAGGTAACATGTCCGACCTCACAAAAGTTATGGCGGTGGAAATTATTACCTCGAGGACCACGGAAGCTGGGGAGTCGAAATTTTATGGGTTTATCCTTTGCATACATGCAAGCCAGAAAATTTGAATTCCGCTTTCCCATGCGCTTAAGTATCACGCACGACCCCGTGGAAGTTTTGATGAGGAAATTATCTGGGGGATCGTGAAAGCTAGGAACCTCAAATTTAACGAGAACGTTTCCTTCTTCCGTGCAACCTCGCAAATTAAGAATCAGTTTTCAGTGAAGCCTGGGTCTTAATTATGCCCCCATGGGTATTTCGGCAGGAAAATTTACTGGTTCGGAAAGCATAAAAAATAAGGAGTTGAAACTTTGGGAGAAAGCGGCCTCGCAGAATCAAATCCGACTTTTATCTACGTCTAGGTCTCTTGTGAGGCCCCGCGAAAGTTTTGGTAGGGGAATTATTATCTCGAGAACTGAGGCTGAAATTTCAGGAGGATGTTTTTTGCTCGTGCAGATGCCTCACAAACTCAAATTTAGCCCCCAAAATATGTCGAGGTCTTACGTGCGACCACGTGTGAGTTTTGGTGCGAAAGTCACTAACTCGGAGGTCGAAAAACTAGGAGGTTGAAATTTGGGAAGGTGTCCCCTGTCCAGGGTTTCAAATCCAGCTTTCATGTACCGGCACGTGAAATTTTCAGTAAGAAATTCCTTAGCTTAGGAGCCAGACAGCATATCGACTATTCCCAGACAGCATATCGACGAAAGCTAGACAGCATATCGACGAAAGTGTAAAACAATTGTATTTTTGGCAGGTAAACGTTCGCTGGTCGGAACTGCGCAAAATGCACCTATTTATTGCTCACTGTAGCAGCGCTATAGCGCTACACAGCAAAAACGCATGAAAATGAGGTCCGAGGTCCTCTACCGTGATACGGTCCGAGTGCATGGAAAAATTCACACGCCCCTTCCTTTTTGCCTCTCTCTCCTTGTTCCTCACATTGTACTAGAAAAGCATGCAAGTTAAAAACTTGTTTTTGGGCCTCTCTCCAAAATTTCCGTCCCTCAGCTAGGAAGATAAGTGAGTTACAAATGTTTTGCTCGATGATACTCGCTGCCTCACCGAGGCACCACTTTTCACAGTATCTTCCTTAATTCTATAAAATTCGTTGCAAATAAATTTGTTCAATGAATCTTCTACTCTGAGATGTGTGTGTGTGTGTGTGTGTGTGTGTTCGAGTACTAGCTGAACAGATAGAAAGTTTAAGCGTGTCCATGTGCGATGCGGCAAATTTAAATTCAACCTTCACATACACTTCGGTCTCACGTACAGCTACGTGAATGCTCTAGCAAGAAAATTGCTAACTTCTGAACCGGAAAAACCAGACAAATAAGAGTTGAGGACGATGTTTTTTGCCTGTGTGAGACCTTATAAACTTGAAATTAGCTTCCATGTGCCCTTAGCTATTACTTTCGGACACGCAAAAGCTCTGGCGGTGAATTTTCCGACTCGGAAAATAGATAATTTAGAACGCTGCCTTACACAGGGATGTCTTCTGCCCACATGTGATCATGTAAATTTAAACTTAGCTTCCAAATAGATCAAGATCTCATGTTACGTACACATAGGTGTGCTGGCGCAGGATAATTCTTGCCTCTGGCAATCGGGCAAGATGGAAAACTAGGAAATCTGCGTGATGCTTCCTGTTGGTATGCAATCCTGGAATTCCAAATTCAACTTTCACGTTCGCTAAGCCCCAGGACAAGTGAAATTGCACATGGGAAATGTGATTTTTTAAAACCAGAACAGTGCAAAAAATTCAACTTTCACGTTTGCTAAGCCCCAGGACAGGTGAAATTGAACATGGGGAATCTAATTTCTTAAAACCAGAACAGAGAGGTTAAAATTCCCGGAAGATATTTTCTGTTCATGTGCAATCCTATATACATAAGTTCAAACCTGACGAACACCCCACATTTCACGTACGGATATGTGAAGTTTTTGGCGAGGGATTTCGTAACTTCGATACCAGACAACGCGTCGACTATTTTTCCACACACCAAAACATAAAGCAGTGGAAATTCTTTACAGTAAACGTTTGGCAGGCGGAATTGCGCAAAACGCATGATTTTACCGACTATCTCAGTGTACGCCATTATTTATTTTTCGAGATTAATTTCTAGATGTCACGTTCAAGACTGCTAATTTCCACTCAACATCAAGTTTTGGGCTGCGCAGCACTTATTCATGAGGATATTCCTCCCCATAAACTTGCAGCCTTTCTTTCAATCTCTACCTTCAAAACGTGTTTCAATCTCTACCCTCTCCCCCATAAACCCGCAGCTTCCCCGCACCCAGTAACCCCTACTTGCTTCTCTACCTCCTCCTCCCCCCTCCCCCTTCCGACTTCCCCTCCTCACAAGCATAGCTGTCGAGTTTTAGTAGCCGCACGTGATTAAGCCATGTGTCTCCTGCCGCTTTGCTTTTCTGTCCTTATGTGGAGCGAAATTGCATTATCGTTTTTAGCTCCAAATATCCGACACGGCGCTCTTTGCTCCAGATATATCCTGTAATGATTTGTACAGAATCGCGAAGAAGGAGTCACACACTTGCCACGCATCCCATCCCCCAATCCCCGCCCCCCCCCCCACCCCCACTTGGGAGTGGGCATAGATTCTTGGGACATGAATTGCAAAGAGCCATTGCGCTGAGAGTCGTCGTCAACTACTCAAACTCGGCTCGGCTCGGCGGCTCAATATGCAATTCTTGGTTCTGACTTGGGCTGCGAGGAATGCGCTTCGGGTTTGTGCTCTACGGCCCGAGGTGGGCGATGGGGGTAGAGCGCACTCCGCCAATGAGCTGACGGATTGGGCTACTGCTCAGGGGAGGTGAGGTTCGTTCACGTTTTTGGG